AAAGCTTGCCCTTGTGCTATTACTGTATTACACTAAGCAAAAAAAAAAAAAAGTACATTCTAAAAACTAATGGATGGAGATGGAAAGAGGGTGGGTCCAACATCACTGTCATGCCTAATTCTGATGGGGTCCACTCTCATCCTTCCAATGGATAACGAGGACCCATGGACTATGGATTTTCCAGTTTCCAAGGGAGTAAAGGGTACTTCCAGTTCATCAATATGTAACTAATTTTAAATGAAAAGAACAAATGTCCACCTCCAAGACACCATGCTTCCCCCGCAACAATCGTAAATAAGCAAGAAATTTCCCACCACCAAAATCCAATTCTATATCCAAATTAGGAACTTCATCTTTCAGCTTGTGCATCTTCTTCAACCAGTCACTGGTGCTAACAGGTTTGCATGTCATATTATATTCAGGTAAAGTTACTACGAAAATGATTACACAAGGATTTGCATATAAATGAGCACTAGCTCCAGCAGGAATTGTTGCTCGCTTGCCAATAAAACTGTATGGTTCAGCAACATTTAGACCTGCAAAGATAATAAACGATTATGATATTTCCTCACGATAACATGAGAAACTGATTTTTAGGACACCTGATCTGAAAACAATTATTGCATTAATTACCTGAAAGACTTTCAGCTAAGACAACAGTAATCTCTGATTGCAGATTATTGTACACATGAACTGAAGGTAAAATGAAGATTTCTTTTTGCTCTTGCAATGTAATGTGAGAAGAGCCAACTTCTGATGAATCGGACACGTTGCGAAGCCTCCAAACAGGGACATCTCTTCCTATTCTCTGAACTAGGAAATTGAGATCAGTAATCTTTGAACCTTGCACACTGAGAGTACAACGAATGGTGTTAAAGGTTGATTTCACTGATTCACTGCCAAAAGTCTTCCTGAAATGGTAACTTAATTTATCAAATAATCCTGAAACACGAACAGCCTTTCCACCTTTCAACTCCTCTGACCACTCCATTGAAACTGCTGGCCCAAAATCCCTAAAATACTCAGAATCTTTTGGCCTGAAAGACAGAAGAAAGTTACCTGCAAAAATTTCCCAATGCAGCGGTCATATAAAAGTTACGGAGAAATACAAGATCATTCAAGCAAGAAATAAACAGTCTTAAGACTTTTTTTTTTTCCTTTTTTTGATAGATATCGATAGTTATATAAATCCATCAATTTCTACATATTAGTGGACCTTCTAGAAAGTAAATACTTGCAAAACTTAATAAGAAATCATGTCGATCAGAAACCCAAAATTTGTAAGAAATCGAACTTTGTAAGAAATGCAGGAAACTTCTCTAATAAGATCAGGATGTAATATATATGCATCGTCTCTAGAACAACTAATGCAATTTCAAGAGGAAAACAACAACTCACTCCAATCAATTTCTGTAAGAGTTTTTTCAGGGGACCCTTTCCCCACTAAACTACCCACAGAAAAAAAAAAAAAGAAGAAGAAGAAGAAAATTTCCATATGAGTTTTGATAACAGTGACTTCATACAATAAATGAAACTCTTGATCACTCAACATACCTTTGACACTCCATAGAGGCCAAGCTTTCCGTAACACAAGATCTTAGTTCCTTAAATCATTTGTCATGCCAAAATCCAAAATATGTGCAATATGAATATAGATAAACAAGAGTAGATAGATGTGATCATTATGTAATTACAAAACCTAATATATGAACAAGATTTATACAAGCCTACCAAGACTCAATGACAGTAATGCCCTTCTCAGACCCCCAGTCATGTTCAATGCATCTGAGGCTGCCATTGAGTCATCAATTGAGTCACCATTCCTCAGCAACACTGTTGGAGATTCATCATTAATCTCTTGTGGCCGTCGACAACGTAACTCCAAAGTAAAACCACTTTCATTATGTATTTTTAGCATTGGGGAAATCACAAGAGACAGGCCATCCTAAAAGAATAAACATATTCAACAAAAGTATAAGCAAGAATTGCTCGTGGACACACTTCCCAAATCAAATATTATTTTTCAGCAACACAAAAAGGATTACCTGTGACCTTTTAGAAATGTCAACCACAATTAATGGTCCAGGTAGAATTCTGGAATCTGTTAGCATAAGCAGAAACATTATCTCAACAAAGTAATTGAAATGCTGGAGAGAGAAATAGCCCATAACATGTCAAAAGAATATAAAAAACATAAATAATGACACATAGAACTCATGAATAGATTAAACAAATGCAATTCAAAGATTGGTCCAGGTAACAGGATACTGTATGAAGTCAAATTCTCTCTCTCTCTCTCTCT